TTTTTTTTTTTTGCCTTGGGTTTACACTGGGGAAGCCGGATGGAAACGCGATGATAGCCCGTTGGGGTTTCCCGGAGTTGGGCTCGGCGTTGGAAGCTGCCGTCCTGGACGACCCGTCGTCTCCCTAGGCGAGGAAAGAAAGGAACCAAAGGTCCCGTCCGGCTGGGGGCTTTAAAAGGGCCGCTTCTTCCTTTTGGCCGAAGGGAGATTTCAGCCGCTTCTCCTCCTCTTCCTCCTCCTCCTCCTCCTCCTCGGCTCCCAAAGTCAAGCGCGAAATCGTGGCCCGGAGCTTCGTGCAACCGCTCTGCTGCCGGCGCGGGGAGCGAATCTTGGAGATGCCAGGTAGGCAGGTGGGTCCTCGGCTGCGAGCAGGTGGCTTTGGGAAAGGACACCCAACCCCGCGCCGAAAGGTGTCCCAAAAGAAATAATAAAAAAAAAAAAACCCTGGATTTTCTTTGGTTTCTTTTTTTGTCCTTTGAAAACCTTTCGCTTCTCCTCCAAGAAGCTTCTTCAGTTCTAACTTCAGAACTTTTAAGAAGAGATTGGACCGCCATTTGTCTGAAACGGTATATAGGGTTTCCTGCCTAAGCAGGGGGTTGGACTAGAAGATCTCTAAGGTCCCTTCAAACTCTCTTCTCTTCTCTTCTCTTCTCTTCTCTTCTATTCCCCTTCCTTCCTTCCTTCCTTCTTTCATTCCTTCCTTCCTTCCTTCTCTATTCTGTTCTGTTCTGCTCTGCTCTGCTCTGCTCTATTCTATTCTATTCTATTCTATTCTATTCTATTCTTATTCTTATTCTTATTCTATTCCATTCTGTCTTCTCTTCACTTCTCTCTTCTCTCTTCTTCTCTCCTCTTCTGTCTTTTCTTCACTTCTCTCTTCTTTTTTCTTCTCCTCTTCTGTTCTATTCCATATTCCGTTCTGCTCTTTTCTCTTCTTCTCTTCTCTCTTCTCTTCTGTTCTATTCCACTCATTGGATGAGAAGCTAAACATTTTCAAAGAAGAAAAAAATAAATAAAACCCTCAAGAAAGTCCAGTTGCCTTTTGAAGGATCAAGGTCCTGTCCAACTCTGTCATTCTGTAAGGGTCTCCTGCTTCAGCAGGGGGTTGGACTGGATGACCTCCGAGGTCCCTTCCAACTCTGTCATTCTATGATTTGGGGGGGGGGGGAACACCTTTGGGACAACCTTTACCTGGATAATTGAGAATCTCCATAGAACTACTCCATAGACAATGACCAACATAAGGAGGCTTGAGCAGGGGATGCTGGATTATGGTTAGGGTTAAGGTCTTAGAGCAGGGGGCTGGACTAGAAGACCTCAAGGTCCCTCCCGGCTCTATTCTGGTTGATTCTGATTGTGACTCTCGGCACCCTCAATGCTCCGTAGTGGCTCTTTCCCCCCCTTTGAGAACTCCTGCAGAATAGCTTATTGTCCAAGATGCAAACATTATGTGAGTGACTGAGTGACTCTACATTAAAGCCTTCAGCTATTTCCCACCCGCCAAAAACCTCTCCAGGATTTCTATAAGGAATCCAGAAATAAATCAGCCCTGAATCCATCCGACCGGCCAAATCAGAAGTCAAGAACAGCGTAGAGATATTTTTAGGTCAGCGGGGAGGGATAACGGAGGGGGGAGGGAGGGAAAGGGTTGGAGGTATTTTCCCAGGTAGATTCTTATTCTGGATCTGATCTGAACCTAGAAATAATGCCCCGTGCTGGGCTTCTGTAGAGTTTTGCCTGAGTGAAGAGGGTAATTCTGAATTTTAGAAAATGTTAGAGACCATAAAAGATCTTTAAAAACGGCTTTGGACTTTCTACTCTGCCTCCGTTGCTGCAAAAGTGTTTGGCTTTTAGGCTGAGATTTACAGATAGAAATTCATTCGGATGGCCAGTCTAGGGAAGAGAAGGACCAGGGGAGACAGGAGAGCAGCCTTCCAATATTTGAGGGGCTGCCACAGAGAGGAGGAAGGGGGATCAAGCTATTTTCCAAGGCACCTGAAGGCCAGACAAGGAATAATGGATGGAAAGTGAACAAGGAGAGATTCAATCTGGAAATAAGGAAGAATTTTCCAACCGTAAGAACCATCAACCAATGGAACAGAAGTTTCCTTCAGAAGTTGTAGGAGCTTCATCACTGGAAGCTTTCAAGAAGAGATTGGACTGCCATGGGTGAGAAATGGTGTAGAATAGAATAGAATAGAATAGAATAGAATAGAATAGAATAGAATAGAATAGAATAGAATAGAATAGAAT